ACAGGTTTGGGGATTTTATATAAAAAAGGCCATTACTTCTTTTTGAGGCAATGAAAATGTTCTAAAATTGACTATGATGATGGCTGTACTACTCTACAAATCCACTAAAAGCCACTGAAGTGTACACTTTACAGAGTGGAATTGCATGGCATGTGAATTATATCTCAATCACGCTGTTAAACAAAACAAAAACAGTCATGAGTGAGCCACAGTTTGATGATATCCTGACCTGTTCTTTGGAAGTCTAAGACTGATAAACTAAACCAAGCAAACAAGTACTGGTGTATGTCATTTAAATTCCATCTGAGCAACACGGGGCCACCTATACTATACATCCATGGTCGCATGTTGTTGTTAAGTGCCACTGAGTCAGTTTCAACTCATAGCGACCCTGTACAGGGTTTCCAGTGAGTTTGAACCATCGACCTTGCAGTTCAAACCAACCTTGCAGTAGTGCCACATAGGGTTTTATCTTTTGTTTTTAAGGAAAATCAGCTTTCCTGTGGCACTGTAGGATAAGCATTGGACTGCTAATCACAAGGTAAGTGGTTCAAACCCACCAGTCGCTCCTTGGAAACCCTATACAGCAAGGCTGGGGAACATCCAGCCCAAAAGCCATATGGTGGCGGTAGTTGTGTGCTGTGGAGTCAGTTCCGACTCACAGCAACCCTGTATAGGGTTTCCGAGGCTGTAGATCTTTATGGGAGCAAAAAGCCTCTTTCTCCTGCTGCTAGTTTCGAACTGCTGACCTTGAGGTTAGCAGCCCAACTCGTAACCACCAGAGCTCCTTAAGGGCCACATAAGGCGTGTAAAATCATTTGGTCTGGCCCTGCCAAGGCAATCGCAGTTTCAGTCTTCCAGTCTTCCGTTGTTGTTGTTGTGAAGTGCCATCGAGTCGGTTCCAACTCATAATGACCTTGTATAGGGTTTCCAAGGAGCAGCTGGTGAGTTTGAACAGCCAACCTTGTGGTTCATACTGACCTTATAGTTCAGTGCTTTATCTCACAGCACCAAACCAGGACTCCTACCATCACATTTGTTGTTGTTCTTGTTAAATGCCATCAAGTCGGTGCCGACTCATAGCGACCCTGTACAAGGTTTCCAAGGAGCAGTTCAAACGGACCTTGTAGTCCAGTGCATTAACCCACAGCGCCATACCCGAACTGTTGTTGTTAAGTGCCACAGAGTCGGTTCCAAGCCATAACAACCCTGAATAGGGTTTCTAAGGAACAGCTGGTGAGCTTGAACCACTGACCTTGCAATTCAAACGGCTTTGCAGTCTGGCACATTAACCCGCAGCGCCACACCAGGACTCTATACCAGAACTGTTATGGTTGGTTATGTGCTGGGGAGTTGGTTCCAAGTCATAGCGAACCTGTACAGGGTTTCCAAGGCTGTAAATCTTTACAGGAGCTGAAAGCCTCATTTTCTCCCATGGAACAGCTGGTAGTTTCAAACTGTTGACCTTGAGGTTTGCAGCCCAATTCGTAACCACTACACATACCAGAACTAGGGGTGAGTTAATTAAATATTTGGCCAAATATAGTAAGCTAATTTTTATGTTGATAATTTTGCATGGCCCTTGAATAATGTTACAAATTTTGGCAGATAAAAAAGGTTCCCACCTCTGCTATAGGAGTCCTGGTATAGTGCTGTGGGTCAATGCGTAAGTCAGAAATGATTCAAAAGCAACAAATGGTTTTAATGGAGTTCTATTGTGACACTGTTTCAGCCATCGACTGCTAACCTCAAGGTCAATGGCTGAAACCCACCAAACCACTCCTCAGAAACCCTATGCGGGGCTTGTTATGAATCCAGCAACAATGGTTTTAATGCCCCCACCACTCAGAGTGAAGTAGTATCCCAAACCTTGCCAGTGACTTTTCCTGAACCTCCTGGTTTCCTTTACCACCTTTCATTTGGCACAGGACAGAGCTTGCTACGGCACCACCACTCCTGCCCACTCCATTCCTGCCCCAGCACTGGCAGCTGAGCTCATGGGCTCCTGGCTCTGCACTGCTGCACCTGTATCTTACCAGAAAGCAGTGGCACCAACTGGCCACCTCGGCCAGCCTCACTCCAGTACCTTCAACCTGCTCCTCAGCCCGCTCCCAGTCCCTGAAGGCACCTCTCTGTGCCTGGTCTCCTCAAGGACCACCCTCTATGCCCCACTTCTCACTCTAAATGTGTGCCACCCTCAACCCAGCCACACACCCAGCCAAGCGAGCCTGCAGTATCCAGAGGATACGCATTTTCAGCTTTGTGGGGAGAGAGGGGCGGGGCTCTCATAAGGCTTTTAGGGTTTCCCAGTATTTTATTGTGCTTCCCATATAACAATTTGTGCATCTTTTATTTCATGATCCCGGTGTGGCACTGTGGGTTAATGCTGGACTGCAAGGTCTGTTTGAACCGCAAGATCGGCAGTTCAAGCTCACTAGCCGATCCTTGGAAACCCTATACAGGAGCGCTATAAGTCAGAACCAACTCGACAGCACTTAACAACTCAATATCAAAGCACTCTTCCCACTTCCTCCCTGAGATCCCCATTTCCATTTGTTCAACTTTCCTGTTCCTTCCTGTCTTCGGAACATTGTTTGGGGGCAAGTGCTGACCATTTGATTTCCCATGGTTGACTGTTGTGAAGGACATGTTACTTACAGGTGTTAGTGTGCACTTTAGAGGCCCACTGTGTGGCCCACAGTTCCAGACTGGTAGGGTGTCAAAGGGCCATAGTGCCAGGGATTCCGTCAGTCTCTATCAGACCTATAGGTCTGGTCTTTTGGATGATTTTGAATTTTGTGCTGGTTTTCTCCCACTGTCCAGGCTCTTCTATTGTGATCCCAATCCCAGCAGCCAGTAGTGAGCGTCAGGTACCATCTAGCTCTTATCTCAGACTAGTAGAGGATGTGGGTCGTGTGGTCCATTCGACTTTTGGACTAATTGGGTTTCTGAGTCTTTGATTTTCTTCAAACTTTGCTCCAGACAGAAAGAGATCAATAGTGGTAGCTTATATGGCCACTCGCAAGCTTTTAAGACCCTAAAAAACTGTTGCTATCATCAAATAGCTTGCAGAACAGAACAATGTCTTTAAAGACTATGTTATACCAATTGGCCTAGATGTTCCCCAACTCTGGTCCAAAGCCCTCAAACTCACTGACTCAGTTCCTTAAGCTGTTCCATTAAGGCTAAAAAGTGTGCACAACTTTACCCCCCGTTTTCTCGACCTGGATATATTTGTTTGTTGTTGTTAAGTGCCATTGAGTCAGTTCCAACTCATAGTGACCCTGTATAGGGTTTACAAGGAATGCCTAGTGAGTTCGAACTGCCGACTTTGTGGTTCAAGTCAATCATGTGATCCAGTGCTTACAAATTAAGTATGTAGAAATATTCTCTGCCAAACCTATAAATGCTCACGGATGCACTTTCATATGTCATCCCACACCTGTTCAGCTTATAGATCCACCTAGATATCCACTCAAAATTCTTGGTTTTGCAAGGCTGTGGCATGTAACAGTACCATGGTTGCCTTTTACTCTTGCAGACGTCCCAGTGTCTTCCCTTGCCTTGATCATGTTGTGCTGATCATCCCCCTACTGTGCAATGTCTTTCCCTTTACCCAAGTTAATACATCTGTAAAAGTCAGTTAGAACTATATAGCGTTTCCAAGGAGCGGCTGGTAGGTTTGAACCACTGACCTTGCCGTTCACCGCTTATCTTACAGCACCACACCAGGACTCCCAGAAGCCCTATACAGGGTCACTATGAGTTGGAACCAACTAAACAGCATTTAACAACAACAATGGTCAATGATCCTGAGCAGTTTGAATGTCTTCTTTGGTGAAGTGTCCATGTTTCTGGCCATTTTAAAATTGGACTGTCTTTTTGTCATTGGGTATAAATGTTTTCTATAAATTTTAAAGCTTAATCCCTTATCAGATATGTTGTTGCCAAAAGTTTTTTCCCAGTCTGTAGGTTTTGCGGGGATTTAACTAAACTGTATGGGGCCTGCCTGTATATAACATGGTGCTTGTAAAATATCCACATCAAATACAACATCCTATTTTATAGAACATATCATGAATATTCAGTACATATCTGTACTGAATCTCCCACTTCTCACTTTATAGGAACTGAATCAGGTTTGTTTACACAAAAACATTTTGTCAATAATTGTGTTGCTAATGTACCTAACACAATGATCCACATCATTTACCATTTTAATTAAATGAAGCAATCTGATTATACTAGTTCTAAACCTTGCTACTGTACAATTATCAAAGAGCTAAACTTTCAAGTCCATCACTTTGGAAGGAATTATAAAAGCAACCACTTATTGTTGCAGCCTTCAAACCCAGCCAGGCTGCATATGGCCACGGAGTCCTGGAGTGGCACTGTAGGGAAATCGCTGGACTGCTTGCTAACCGAAAGGTTGGCAGTTCAAACTCACTAGCCACTGTTTAGAAACTCTATTCAGAATCACTATGAGTCGGAACCTATTCAATGACAATTGACAACAACATTTATGGGTGTAGGACTAAAAATTTCAAAGCAAATAAAAGATCAAACTCTTCAAATACCAGAAATAGGAAACTTTCCATTTCCTGGTAATGTATTTGCTTTTCACCTTTAATTGTCTATGTAGTTAAGCTTCTTGCAATATTAAAACATATTCTTTATGTTCTACTTGTGGTAGGTTCTTGGCCCTCCAAGGGAAACAGCAATAAGAACACCCAGTCATTCAAATTTTACATAATTATTTAAGTCTCAAAATGATAGGGAGCCGAAGACAGGGAGGAAAGCAACAGTTTAAGTGAATAGAGGTAAATAGTGCTTAAACTAATGGTACATGGAAGGGATTGCAATCATTGTAATGAAGCAAAGTATATGATTTGTTTAATGTAACACAGATGATCTGCTCTGTAAACCTTCACTCAATTCACAATATAAATTTTTTTTAAATGGTACTTTCTTTTTTGAAAAAAAAAAAAAAAAGGAAGTACCTTTCTGGCTGGAATCAAGAGCATCGTCTTCAAGGTCATCATCAAAAATCTCTCGGCCATCCTCCACATAGCCAATACCATCTGTCGGAACAAAGTTCAATATGGAGATCAAGTTTCTACACGCACCCAATGGTATTTTAACCATAGCAACACAAACAAAACCACCCTGCTATGAAGCAGAACCAGAGTCTTGGCGTGGCGCTGTAGGATAAACACCAGACTGCCAACCATAAGGTCAACAGTTCAAGCCCACCAGCCACTCTTCAGAAACCTTATACAGGGTCGCTATGAGTCAGACCTGACTCGACGGCACTTCACAACAAGGCAGCAGAACCAAGTTTAAACGGTTATCAGACAAAACTTAGCATCCTCCCAGTATACGTTTTCTGAGTCAAAACCAAAGGAAGTATATTCTACCTAACTCCCTGAGCCAGGGAAATGACTGACCCATAGGGTTCAAGTCTGCCACAATAGGACACTTGAAACAGTTTTACTAACCCAGAGAATGGAAAGTGAAAGAATTAACCACAACCCCTGAAAGACCCTCTATCCTATGATAGAAAGCTGACAAAGACAGCTGAATTCAATTAAAGAATTAGGGGCCTAAAACGAATCACAGGCATGGTCTACATCTCCTGACTGGGGTCAGCACTCGATGCCTAAGAGGTCAGATCTGACACGCAGGAACCTGTGAGCTTTCTATAACAGATTTAAGAACATTGCTATCTATGCACATTGCTTTACGTTGTTTAAATTACTTTTTACACCTCACTTTAGGTGACCCTCACCACTTTAAGAGGTAGGTATTTTTCTTATCCCCACAATACAGATGAAAATCCCGAGGTTCACAAGATTATGCGACTTGTCTAAGGTCAAACAGAATGTAGAAACCTGGGTTCCCTTACTTCCAAATGCTGTGTCGGCCCCACAGGTGCCTGCCTCCTCCAGGTGCCTCCACAGCCATTTTATGGAGGATTGATACTATATCCTAAGATATGTGGCTGCTTCTCCATAATGTCCCCAAAGAAACTTCCTCTTGCTCTGGGTTCCACACCGGCAAATACATTAAGGAAACTCCAAAGCAAAGGGGAGCTCATGACAGCGCTTCACAGGCCAAGCAGCAACCCCACTGCATATGAATCTCTGAAACACAACCCGCAGGCAATTTCCTCCCACATACCATCATCCACTATCCAGTCATCATCCTGGCGGGCCTGAACCAGCTTCGAATATTGGTCTTCGTCCACTTCTTCATACACACTGCTGAAGTCCTCAACCTGCCATCAGACAAGTTTGGGAAAAAGCTTCAAATGGAGTGAAAGTGTTAAATGAATGATTCTAATGAAAAAAAAAAAAATTGTCAAACTGAAATGGGAATGGCAGCCTGAAGGAGTAGCTGCAACCAAATCGAGTTCTGACATTCAACACCACTACAGGGTTTTCCTTAAATAGACATCAATTAACTTAGTATTCCTTTTAGGTGGGTGTTAACATAAGATATTAAATGATTCCATTAGCATAATACACTTGTCACACCATCAATTACTCATCTACTTCATAAAAAACAAACTGAATTATAGCCAATTCTTCATTAGCTGCTATGGGGATTATTCACTTATAATTTCTTGACTGGTTTCTCATATATTTGGCAAACTTGTAAGGCATACCACCTCTCTCTCCACAAGCAGATGGATGCTCTGCGAATACATGATAATTTTAATAATAGTTCAATCAACCAAATGGAAAACCTTCCTCATCCACCCCCATCCCAAAACTAGCAAAACAAATTTATTACATATTCTAGAGGCAAAGCAGAAATGTTTTTTGAGCAATCCCTATCGGCATTATCACTGATCTGCCACCACTGGAAGGTCTTGGGATGGCAGAGACTTCAGCACTGAGTAATTTGAGGCACAAATCCAGAGAGCAACAGGCCCTCCAATCACAATGGGCTGCCTGACTACCTACCACAGGGTCAGAACTTTATGAACTAGTAGTAGCAACAGAGTAGACCACCTGAGTGCACACAAGCTCTGCAGCTGCCCCTCGCCACAATCTACTGCCTTCTCATATGAGAGTTTGGAGGACTGGTTATTAAGCACTCACAAATAAATACAGGTGTCCCTCACTGTGATAGTTCAAGTTGTGTGGCAACATGGCTGGGCCAGGATTGTCAATGGTCTAGAACTTAAGATGTCATTATCACCTCCACAATGATATCTATAGGATGCAATCACTCCCACGATGTGATCTGCTCTAATCTGATGCAATTATCCTATGTGTTATAAATCCTCAAGTCTATGATGTTAATGAGGTCAGATACAAGCTACAGGATTAGATTGTATCTTGAGTTAACCTCTTTTGAGATAAGTGAGGGACCCTCTGGCACCAAGAAAGAAGAGCCCGGAGTGAACTGCAATCTGAGGTTCCTAAACTTTGGAGCTCCTAGATCCAGGGAGCTGTTGAGGCCAAGACACACAGAGCTCTCCAAGGAATGCTGGGCCTACACAAGCTGGAAGGAGACAAGGACCTTTCCCAGCTGCTACTCTGAAGGTAGATTTCCAGCCTCCTAAACTATGAGAGAATAGCTTTGTCTGTTAAAGCCATACACGTGTGGTATTTCTGCTACAGTAGCACTAGATAACTAAGATACCCATGTTTTAAAAGTTTGCTTTAGACCACTTCACTTTTAGGAAAGATCTATATTAGTACCTCTTTGCATTAACAGAAAGAAATTCGAAGACTTACGCATTTATGTAAAAAGGCAAAAAGTGAAACTAGTGTTTGGCGTTTGTTGTGTAGCAAACCATTAAAGAGGTATGCATACCATGAACAGCTAAAGTGGTGCCACCAAGATCCTTCCCTGGAAACTACATTCAGCATCTCAGGATCAAGCAGTCATAGCTTTGAACTGTGTCTACAAACACTCTACTATTAACGTTAGGTGCCATCGAATCAGTTCCGACTCAGCAACTCATAGAGGCCAGTCTCACACCATCCTCACAATTGTTGTTACTTTTGAGCCTGTTGTCAATGGCACTGGGTCAATCCATCTCCTAGGTCTTCCTCTTTTTCGCAGAGTTCCTCCACTAGCAAGCATGATGTCCTTCTCCAAGGATTGATCCCTCCTGGTAACATATCAAAATTATGAGAGACAAAGTCTCTCTATCCTGGCTTCTAAGGAGTATTCTGGCTGCACTTCTTCCAAAACAGATTTGCTTGCTCTTCTGGCAGCCCATGGTACTTTTAATATTCTTCTCCAACACCATAACTCAAATACATCAATTCTTCTGTGGTCTTCCTTATTCACTGTCCAACTGTGAACACTCTACATTAGTGTTATTTGAATTACATGTGTTACTAGGTATGATGTGGTAGGTGATTTTGGGGGTCTGGAAATGCTCCCAAAAAATTTCCGATAGATATTAATGGTGATTACTTCTTCACTTTATGCCATTTGGGCTTACAAAAGGTCTCAAAGAAACCCTCTACTTTTGGATAGCGGGGAGAACCAGTATCTCATTAAAGATTCTGCCTTTCTTTGGATAGTTCTGGAAGAGAGATATTTCTAACCCCATCTGAAGAGCTTAGGATGCAGACTAGTTTATCCAAAAGCCTGGGCACAGATCTTTGAGAGCCTACTGGCACAGCTGACTGGATTTCTGCCACACCTACAAGGTTTGTACTAATTATAGGATTAGGTTTAGCTTTCACCCTCCTTGTTAATCTACTCTGCAGGGATCACTGGCAAATATTGATTTGGCCTTTTCAGAATTGGGTAACAGAGAATGCTTGCCCCACCAAATTAAGTTTTTGAGACCCACATACAAACTAGTCCAATTAATATTATTATATGATCAATTTTTGTTCCTTTTTTTTTTTTGAGGGGAGAGGGGAGGTAGAGGTGGGGAAAAGCAGAGGGCAAGGGCCTGGTCAGACTTGGTTTGTTGACTGACGTCTGTTAGACATATTTATTTCTCTGTTCTTCTCGTCATCAGTCACGTACTATCAACAAGACACCAGACACCTATTTTTAAAAAATTATTTTGAGTAAAAAAGGCATTTTGACTATCTCTGAAAACAATGCTACTGCCCAGCATGAACTCTTAGACATACAATTAGCACCACAGCGTTTAAAGGTAAATTAGCAGCACGTGCCAATGTCTGCCCTATTCTACACAGAACTCCTTTATTATTAGTACCTACACTGAAAAAAAACCACCTTAGGCTTTAATCTAATCCTTTTAGGAACCTTTTGAGTTTGGCTCATCTCTCAATTTGAATGAACAAACGGTCCCAAATGACAGAAAAATCCTCATCCCCTTGCTAAATTGTACAATAAAGTATCCAGACATCACATCAATTTTGACCCAAAGTAAGCCTATATAGTAGGGTTTCTCAGACTGTGAATCTTTACAGGAGCAGACAGCCTCACCGTTCTCCTGCACAGCAGAACGAAACACTACCTGATCCTGGGCCAACCTCACTATATATATAGAGAGAGAGAGAGAGAGAGTGAAGGAACCGTATTGTTGGTGGTAGTGAGTGCCGTTGAGTTGGTTCTGGTTCACAGCAACCCTGTAAGGGTTTCTGAGAAGCAGCTGGTGTATTTGAACTGCCGACCTTGTGGTTTGCAGTCCAGTGCTAATCCTACAGCGCCACACCAGAATGGTTAAGAACACATATTCTGTAGCCAGATAGCCTGCGTTCAAACAAGGGCTCTGCCACTATGATTTCACCAAACTTTCTGTCCCAGATATCTCAGTTATAAAATGTTACTAATAGTATCTCACTTCACGCGGTTATTGGAAGGAGGCGCCTTGCTGATGCGACGGTTAAACACTCATCTGGTAACTGAAAGGTCGGTGGTTCAAACCTACCAGCTGTTCCACAGGAAAAAGATGTGGCCATCTGCCTCCCTAAAGATTTCCAGCCTTGGATATTCTATGAGCAGTTCTATTCTATCCTATAAGGTTACTATGAGTCAGAATGGACTTGACAGCAGTGGGATAAAAATATAAGTGTCATTTTAAATATAAGTGTTATTTTAAATATAAGTGTTATTTTTTTAAAGTACGGTCATTATTGTCATTATTTTCAAATACGCGTTAATCACTTTCTAGTTAAGATACTCCGGGATCAGGAAACATTCCCACCCCCTCCACACACAGAGTGGACAGAGATGGGCAACTTGGACATTGGATACCCAAATGGGAAAGGAGGGACTACAAAGGCAAGAAGTAACTGGCTTACAAGCTTTCAAGAGGGAACCTAGAGCTAGTGGGCATGGAGGAAGGCAGAATCACCAGTGAGTACTATCCAA